GGCCCCCTTGTTACTGGCTGCTCTGCTCCTGTCACTTTAGAGTAAGTGTTGAGAGACATCTGCATCAACTTAGTATTGCTCTGACAACCACAAAAGCGTGATTGATGGTCTCGTCTCTCTGAACAGAGGGTAGGCCATGTGGGTGTTCTGAGTAGCATGTGCCATGTGCTGTGTAATAGTCATGCATAGTAGAACCAACTGGACATTTTTAAGAAACAGCGACAGATCGTTTATTACAGTTAGTTTGAGAAGCTGTGGGAAAGCTGCAGGAAAGGACTCTGGGACTTCCAGAAAGGATTCCTAAGTTACACAGCAGACTGGGCCACTGAGGGAGCTGCTGCCTCCACCCACCAGGGAGCTGCCTGTGGACTCAGGGCCCAGCTGTGGGCTTCAAAACCACCCACCTCTGCTGCCAGCTGCACTAGCAAAGCAGGTGTCCCGGGCAGCTCCTGTCCCCGTGCCAGGGAATGTGGGAATGCGTTTCGCTTTCCAGCCCCGGCTTGCAGAAGTTGGCTGGAATGGATGGTCACTGAATGCCACAGTATCCACTCACCAACTCCAGACTTCTACAACAATAGGACCGATGCCCTGTCTCCCCCAGTCCACAACTATCACATGCTCCTGGACCTGAGCACTTACACATTTTGTTCCCATTACCTGGAATGGCCATTCTGAATTTCTGCTGGTAGAAGCATCATTCATTCATTCATTATTTCAGAAAATCCCCATAATGTTCCAGGCCCGGTATTGGGTGCTTCTGATACCAAGATGACTATAGCAAAGTTCCAAGAACCTAATCCGCTGGTTAATGAGATAGATACAAACATACATTAACCCGCCTTCCCAGAATGCTCTCTTTCTGTGCAATAAGACCCTTTACAATGTAAAAGGGAAAAAAGCACCAGGAATAAGAGCCCAGCTCTGAAGTAGCCTTGCCAGCTATGTGATTCATCCTCTCTTAGCCTCACTTTCCCCTTGAAAAGGCATTGATGACAGCACCTCTCTCACTGGGCTTGTTCTGAGCATTTTAAGAGAAACTGCACAGGAAGGGCTGTGTCCAGGAGGCACATGGTACATGTGATACACAGGGTTGTCTTTTCCCATCCTTCACAGCCTAGTCATGTGTCTCCTCCCGAGAGCCTTCCGGGCCTCCATGGGAAATGAGTCACCTCCTCTTTCACTTTTCCTCTCGTCAGTGTTGGGAGACACACCTCTGGGATATCAGAAATGTTGGGAGGGCTGTGTGTATATATTTGCTAAGCTGTTAAAAAAAACAACAGGAGTGGCCTTTGTCAAGTATTACACATTAAAGGAAATTTTTAATGAAATAATTATCAAAAGTCTACAAAACCATTTTCCGAATCCACCCATATTGTGCGGTGTTTTAATCTGTCAGCTGGGAGCGCCCTGTTTTCCTTCAGGTTCCCCTCTGCCTGGCATACAGTAAGAACCCACAAAAGGGGGTTTGTATTTGCTCTGACACATAGAGTAGATTTTCCGAGGCCTGTACCTGGCTCTTTGGAGGAAGTAAGCTATGGGAACCAATTACAGCTGGGAAAGCAGTACCAGAAACACTGACTCAGTGCGGTGGGGTGAAGTGTCCCGTGGGAATTTAAAGACACAGGAGGGAAAAGTGAGCTTTCTCAGTATGCCTCCAAAAAGCTATGTCCACATCCCAACACTTGGAACCTGTGAATGTTACCTTATTGGAAAAAGGGTCTTTGCAGAAATAATCACGTTAAGGATCTCTGCATGAGACCACTGGGATTACCCAGGTGGGCTCTAAATTCCCTATATGAAAGAAAAGAAAAAAATACAGACACAGGTCCTGTCTGGGTAGTTCAGTTGGTCCAATACACCATAGTTGCAGGTTCAAACCCTGGTCACATACAAGAATCAACTAATGAATATAGAAATAAATGGAACACAAATCAATGTTTCTCTCTCTCACTTTTCCTCCCTTTCTCTCTCTCTCAAACCCAATTTTAAAAAAAGATACAGACACATGTGAAGATGAAGGCAGAGGTTAATGTGATGCAGCCACAAGCCAAGGAATGCCTGGAGTCATCAGAAACTGGACAAGGCTGCCGGCCGGTGTGGCTCAGTGGTTGAACATCGACCTATGAACCAGGAGTTCATGGTTCAAGTCCCAGTCAGGGCACATGCTTGGGTTGTACGCTCAGTCCCTAGTGTGGGGTGTGCAGGAGACAGCCGATCAATGATTCTCTCTCATCATGGATGTTTCTATCTCTCTCCCTCTCCCTCTGAAGTTAATAAAAAATATATTTTAAAAAAGAAAAAGGAAAAAAAAAAAGCTGGTCAAGGCAAGGAAGGATCCTCCCCTACAAACTTCAGAAGTAGTACAGCACTGTTGCCCTTAAGAACTGTGAGAGAGCCCTAACCGGTTTGGCTCAGTGAATAGAGCATCGGCCTTCAGACTGAAAGGTCCCCGGTTCGATTCCGGTCAAGGGCATGTAACTTGGTTGCAGGCACATCCCCAGTAGGGGGTGTGCAGGAGGCAGTTGATTGATGTTTCTAACTCTCTATTCCTCTCCTTTCCTCTCTGTAAAAAAAAAAAAAAAAAAAAAAAAAAAAAAAAATATATATATATATATATATATATATATATATATATATATATATATATTTTTTTTTTTTTTTTTTTTTTTCTTTAAGAACTATGAGAGGATAAATTCCAGTTCTAAGCCACCCAGTTTCTGGTGCTTTGTTACAGCAGCCCCAGAAAATAAATGTAGCTGCTTTCAACTACAGCAGCCCATCCCGGTAGTTGTAGCAGAGATTGTTTGGCCCACAAGCCTAATGTATTTACATAGAATGTTTACTGACCTCTGATCTAGAGCATCGCCCTTTTTGAATGGTTGATGACAGCATGCCACCAAATCTACTCAGGGAAAAACAAGTCACTCTGTTAGTATTACTCCTGATTTATAGAGGGGGAAATTAAAGCAAAGTGAGATTAAGGGGTTTATCAAAATATGGTGGCCTCCTGTTGCTTTTGAATGCCAAAACACCCCCTCCCTCTTCTCCAGCAAAACATACTGACTTCTTTGGGGAACACCCCACCATAGTCCCCATGGTCTGGGCAAGGCTCACCTCATCTCCTGGTTTCAGGGTTGGGTATCCAACTGCCTTGGTCAGCTGGGGCTGGATATACAACAAATGCCACAGACTGGGTGGCTTAAATTTATTTTCTCACAGTTCTGGAGGCTGGAAGTCCAAGGTCAAGGTTCAGCAAGGTCAGGCTTCTGGTGGAGGCTCTCCTGGCCAGCAGACAGTCACCTACCTGTGTCCTCGCAAGGCCTTTCCTTGGTGTGAGGGAACGAGAGACCTTTCTCTCTCTTCTTATAATGATATGGGTCCTATTGGATTAGGGCTCATCATTCTGACCTTATGTAACCTTAACTACCTCCTAAAGTCCTTGTTTCCAAATACGGTTATGTTGGGGATAAGGGTTCCAACCTATGAATTTTGAAAGGACACAATTCAGTCCATACCACCACCACAGGCCAGGCTAATCAGTGCATTCTCTAACTTGGATGCTGGTAGCATATGACCCCAGGGTATCCCTAGGCATAGCATTTGCTGCAACTTTCAGGCAAGCAAAACTTTTTCTTCGCAGTGAGGATAAATGAGGCTAAAGTGAAGCTAGAGCAGCCAGGGCATATGGAGAGGACCTGGGCTGTGGGCTCGGTCCCCAGTGTGGGGTGTGCAGCCAACTTGGAAGAAAACAGAGCTAAGAAGCGTATGGAGAGGAATTAAATCCAGCCTTTCTGAAGTAGGATCCCCTAAATGTCTGTTAACATGATACCATCAATTCTGTTTGAGCTGTGTTTCTCTCACAACCCAAAGCATCCTGACTGACAGACTGCTGTCTAATAGCTAATAGTAGTGGAGATGGGATCTGAAAAAGCAGGTTTGCTTAGCTCTACCAGGCTTAGCTTAGGATTTCCTTGGAGTAATCTTGGTGTTTAACCCAGGAGCCATCCTCAGTCTTGATTCCCAGGTGGCAGCTGGATTCTGGACATTTTTATTGCCTTCATCCTGCTGTCCTTAATTGATAGTGAGAACAGGGAAGATGGAATGAGTGTTAACTAAATAAAGATGATTATTTAAATTTAGATAAATTCAGGGAGTGCTCCTTGATTATACAATAATCAAAGCTCCCCTGACTGAGGTCTTAGTGTAGTTGTGACAACAGATACAAATTCCCAGCAGTTGAGGAAGGGGAATTCTGGTCCCCTCCCTGAGTCCTGAACCTGGTTTCCCTGAGCAGCACCCTAGTAGGGACCCTGGTGCCTGTGTTCACATAGCTCTGCTAAAGCTGTGTGACCTTGGGCAAGCAGCTGCCGCTGCCTGTGCCCCTGGTTCCTCATCTGAAAAATGGGAATAATGCCCACTTCATAGGATTAACATGAGAAGTGAGTGAATATAGCACACAGTAAGTTCTTTGTAATGGCTGTTATTGTTCTGGAGGCTGGCTGCTCCTCATGCAGTTCTCAGACCAAATGTCACCTCCAGCTGCCATGCAACAACCCATCCCACTCCCTCCTACAATTTTGTTTCATCCAGAGCATTTTCTTCTATGAGACCCCTTCTCTTTTGATTCTTTCTTTCTTTTAATCTTTCTTTTAATCTCTCTCTCTCTCTCTCTCTCTCTCTCTCTCTCTCTCTCTCTCTCTCTCTCTGCTGCAGGCTTTATGAAGGACAGAAACTATATTTTGTCAGCTGCTATTTTCCCAGCACCTACCCTCCTACTTGGCACATAGTAGGTGCTCAGTAAATACTGGTTTGAATAAAGACAGCGCCACTCTGGAAGGGACTGCTTTCTTTGGGGGCCACGCCAAATACCACGCCATCACGACTTGCTGCGCTTGAGCTCTTTTCTCCTTTTAACTTCCCAGTGTAACTTCATGTGAGCGCACCCCAGAAGTTCCCCTGGACCAGGCCACCGCCCCGGAATCTGGGCCTTCCCAGTTCTGCCTTAGGGGAGGGAGAATGGGGGTGGCCCGCCAAGACCAGTTCCCAGCGCGTCCTTAAGTTCCGCGTCGCTTTAAGGCGGAGGCCCGGGAGGGGGCCGACCCCGCCCGCCGGCCGGGCGCACTGGTCCAGACTCCGGCATTTCCTCCCCGCTCGCTGGCGCGGCCTCGCCTCCCCTCGGAAGAGGAAACTCCCGGCCCGAGTAACGGAACGAGCGCGGAGGAGAGCGGCGGGGAGCCCGGCGTCCGGAGGGCTGCCCGGGTAGGCGGCGAGCCGGGCGGGCAGAAGCTGGCCGCGGGCAGCGCGCCGGGGCGCTGGGAGGGGAGGGCCGCCCGGCCGGACGCGGAGCGCCGCCGGCGCAGGGCGCGGCCCGGAGCCTGGGAGCCGAGGGCGGGCCGCAGCTGGAAGGAGAACTTGAGCTGGGAGAGGAGGCCGAGCCGGGAGACGGCTTCCCCCGGCCCTGCGTGGGGGGAGCCGCCGCCGCGAAGGCGAAGGAGCCCGGGACCGCGGAGCTGCTGGGGTGCTGCGCGCATGCTGGGACCGGGGCACCGCCGGGGCTGGCGCCCGGCATGTCGGTGCATTATACCCTCAACCTGCGCGTCTTCTGGCCCCTGGTGACCGGCCTGTGCACCGCCTTCGTGTGCCTATACCATGTCCTGCGAGGGAGCGGGGGCGCCCGGGCCGAGCCCCCCGACGGCGCGGACGGCGGCTTTCCGCTGCTCAAGATCTCCGTCCTGCTCCTCCTTGGCTACGTCCTCCTCCGCTGTCGCCACGCCATCCGGCAGCGCTTCCTGCCCGGCTCTCCCCGCCTGGGGGGTCACTCCACCTTCTCCCCGAGACACTTCCAGGAGCCCAGCCTCGACATCTTGCTGGAGAGTTACTACGAGCACGAGGTGCGCCTGTCACCGCACGTGCTGGGCCACAGCAAAGCGCACGTGAGCCGGATCGTGGGCGAACTGGTGCGGGCTGGCCGCGCTCGGGGGTCCCCAGGCCCTATTCCCGGGGGCACGCTGGCCTTGGCCTTCCGCGGAGACTTCATCCAGGTGGGCAGCGCCTACGAGCAGCATAAAATCCGCCGGCCAGACGCCTTCGACGTGCTGGTGCCACTGCGCCTGCCGCCGCTGGTGGCGCTGGAGCCGCGGGGCCTGGGCGCGCAGCCCGCGGTGGGCCCGGCCTTGCACGGCTGCTTCGTGTGCGCGCTCAGGGCGCCGCCGGGGGCCTCGGGAGGCCACTGGCTCCGGGACTGCAAACCCTTCGCTGAAGGCTTCTGCGTGGACGTGCGCGGGCGGCGCCTCCTCTCGGCCGCCCTGGTGCTGCGCTGGTTCCAGGCGCATCTGCAGCGGTCCCTGGCCACCGTGCGCTACAGCCTGGAGGAGCGCTGCCGGGTCACCCTGACTCCGGGCGGCCTGGAGCAGCCCCCCACCCTGCACATCCTGCCCTGCCGCACCGACTACGGCTGCTGCAGACTTTCCATGGCCGTGCGGCTCATTCCCGCCGTCCACGTGGGCGATGGTGTCTTCCTCGTGGCTCCACCGCCGCTCTCCTTACCCGCTGGGCCCCCGTCCGAGCTCCCGGAAGGCCTGCGTGCAGATGCGCTTTGGGGCGTGAACACAGCCCGGCAGGAGCAGAAGCTGCTGGGCTGGCTGCAGGAACGGGCCCCTCCAGGTGCCTGCTACCTCAAGTGCCTGCAGCTGCTGAAAGCCCTCCGAGACCTGGGCGCCCGCGGGCTGGACCCAAAGGCGGCCGCCCAGTGGGGACGCGTCCTGTCCTCGTACGTGCTCAAGACGGTGCTGCTGGCGGTGCTGCTGTACGAGAGGGCGCCGGAGCAAGGCTGGGAGGAGGCCCACCTGGGCAAGCGCATGGACCAGCTGGTTCGCTTTCTTAGGGACTGCCTGTTGGGACGCCAGACACTCTTCCACTGTGTCCTGGGCCCCGGCGGGGCAGCAGCTGAAGTGGGCCCGCTGCCCAAGGTACTTCGTGAAGCCGCCCCTGTTGACCTCCTGGCTGCTTTCGACGGTCACGCCCGGGAACTCGTGGCTGCACGGTTGCTGTCCACATGGCGAAGGCTGCCCCAGCTTCTGCGGGCCTATGGGGGTCCCCGCTACCTTGCCAGGTGCTCTCCACCCCGGAGTCAGCGCCCCCAGCACACCCAGGGCTTCCCCAAAGATGAACCGTAGACCCTGATGGCCCAATGCTTTTAACGCCTCTCCCACCAGGAGGGGGTGGGGATGGCCATGAAGCCAGTTCAACTCCAGAAAGATGAGCTGCAGAAGGTGTTGGAAAATTCGGAAGATGACATTTGGTGGCTTCAATGACACCCTTGGGTCCACAGTCCACTATAGTTACTGCAACTTCTTCACACCCACCAGAGTGTCCTAGGCAGGCTCCAGAAAAACATCCTGCAGCAGCAGCTCAGAGTTGTTCCAAATGTTGGTTTGTGTGGGATGATTCTGAGGAAGAATCTGCGGATTTTAGGAAGGTCCCGGGAAGGAAGAGAGAAAGAGAGAACGAGCAGCAGGGAGACTTCTCTCTCTTGGTTGTCACAGATCTCTCTGGCCCTCACATTTAAAGAAGTTATTATTATTACTATTATTTTTTGGCATGACTACTTGCTAGGTCTTGGGTTTCTGATTGATTGTTTAAAAAAAAAAATATCTACACCTGGAATTGGAGTTCTAGTCTAGGGGCTACTGTTCTGAGGAACATAGTTTCCACTCTTCAAATGAAAGTTAATGTATTTTTTTTAAATGGTGCAATTATTCGTGTTTGCTGGGATTGTGAAGAAGTGAGTCACACAGGTTGAGAGGCAGTCAGGAATTGATTAGAGAAACTTCCAGAGCAAATAGCACTTTATTTTAATCCATCATTTTGTGGTTATCGCTAGTGCCAAGTGTTGCATCTGAAAGGGAGACTAGGTGCGTTGACTGTTAAGGAAGGTGCGGTCTTGAAAAGCTGGCTGCTTTATTTACATCCCTCCAGGCACGTGCCCAAATGTGGAGCAGTCATCACCCAGTCATTGAGCCCATGCTGTGATCCAGGCAAAACAGTAGCAAAGTGGCGAGGGTGGAAAACATGTTGGGTCTTGAGAAAGATGTATTTTAGGCTTTGCTTATCCAGGAGTCTCATTGGAACTTGCTGCTGGCTGGAGACAAACACCTTTTTTTAAGGCTTTTAAGCAAACTCCTTTGCATGAGATTTCTTTCGGAGTTTAACGAGACAACGAGGAGGAAATGCCTGCCTTGTAGTTAGTGCTCTCGATGCTCAGTAATGGTAAGTGGTTGAAAGTTATTCTCCCATTGCCCAAGTTGCCTGTACGGGGTCCTAAGAGCAGTTGTCAGCACAGGTCTTGCAAAGCATTTCATTATACATAGTTCAGTATCTGGGGTTCTTTATTTGAAGATCCACGACTCCCTAGTCCATCAGCAGAGGAGAAATACAGAAGAGAGCCTGAAGAGATGGGTGAAGGGAGATAGCCCTTGTCAGCTTATTCCCCCCAACCCCGTCTTTGGACAGAAATATCACCAGGTTGGGTGTGTCTTGCTCCTGAAATCCCTCTTTGTCCTCCCAAATTTCTAACAGCCCACAATTCCAAGTTTAAAATGGTCCAGCCTATGCTCTCCTATTAGAAGCTGCAGCCAGTCCCAGTGTTATACTTTGGGATTTTTTTTTTTTAAACAAAGACATGTACTCTCTTAGGCTCTTAAAGGGTGAAACTTGGAAGACAGAAATAGCCACCTGAATAGGGCCATTGTTTAATTCCTGAGTTATTTTGAGGGAACTCTAAACTTTCTTTAAGGGACCTAGCTGGCCACTGCAGGAAATCATTGTGAATAAATGATTTATAGGAAATCCTCATCAGAACTGCAAGAGAAACAGTTGCGGATGCTCTGCTTTCCTTTGAGGTTGTTTTGAGGAGAGTTCCCCTCAAAACCTTTTGAGGTCAGTGTTAGGTTATAAGGTACTGCTTTTAGCAAAGGGATCAGTCTATCGACTTTCTGCAAAGATGTAAACTGTCCAGGGTGCAGTGGCCCCTGTAGTCATTGAAGTCTACCGGAGTGGGGGACATTGGCTCTGGAGGGATTTATAAAGCTTTAAAAGCTGAATTTTCCAAATATTTCTAGCTAAGTTGATAGGTTCTTTTTTTTTTTTTTATCTTAGTAGTGTTTTGAAGTTTAAGTCTGGTAATATACTGTTCTTATAGTTGTAATTTTTTTTTCAGGTTAATTACCCAAAGCCTCATCCATCCTCAAGATTTTAAATTTTTATTATTTTTTTAAATTAATGGGCATTGTGTTTGTTAATTTTTTTAAATATTAATGTTTTATTTAAATGCCATGCTGAGCAATTGTTCTCTGGACATGGTAACCAAAACTTGAGAATTTTCGATCGATTTTGATCAATGTTTAGTAATCCCAAACATGTACTATGTACAAATGAAATAATATGGCATATTAGCCAGGCATGATGGCTGCCCGAGGCACTTAAATAAAGCTCAGTTCTGAGCCTTAAATTAGGGCTCCATCATGATCTTGATCAGAAAAGTACACATTTTTGGTGTACACCTGGTACTGGAGACTCATATTTGCAAATATTCTTATACAGGAAGGCTCAGAATTGCTCATGTTAAAAAAAAAAAATTAATTGTCCAGCCAGTGCCCAAAGCAAATGGAGTTTGGAGAAAATGACTCAGCCATTTTGCCACGAGACACCCTTCAGTAACTCTGCTGAGCGGTCTGGGAGCCATCCTGGAACGCTCCAGGGCTGAGAGTAGGAGGAGGGGTTGGCAAAATGAAACTGAAGTGAAAGAAGGGAGAATGTGAGTGAACCAAGAGAAATCTGAAGGACTCGGGAAGTAGGATCTAAGATGGAAGTGAAAGGAAGGAGAGCTGGGGTGGAAATCGTGAGCATGGGAGAGAGGTTTGGGTTAGGTAACATAATTTTAGGTATGTGCTATATCAAAATCAGGGGTCACAAACTCAGCAGCCTGCAGAAGCAAGGTAGAGAAGGGGTGGGTGGGCAGTGGGGACCCCCTGTCTTAAGGGGAAACAGCTATTACTCTGCCCCATGCAGGGGAACGGGGTAGAGAGGGTCTGGAAATCGGGATTTTTTTTAAAGTGAAATTTTCAGATTTTTAAACTAAGTCATTTTAAAATTTCCAAAGCACCGTGTGGGCCAAACAAAACTTGGTTAAGTCTGCAGGCCACCAGTTTGCGACCCCTGACTTACACAGTTAACCCCCCAAGTATGTATAAGGTTATATTTATTGTTATGGATATGATGTTGTTATACTTAGTTGGGGGAGTGATAGTTCAGTATTCTTTATCTCTCAGAGCTAAGCTTTATTGTAGAAACAAACCAAAAATATTAACATGGCCACATATGACACTTAACTTACAATTCCCAGAAGGACCCTCTCTCCTGGAGCTGTTCTTTGTAGCCAGATTCTCCAGCAAACCACGGGGCCGTTCTTGGCATTTCCTTCCTGGTGAGTCCAGGCTAAATGCCTAGGCTGTGTTGGAGTTTGAAGATGAGTCATCAGGAAGGATTGCAGAATAACTTGTTTCTTTTTATTTGCATTTTATTCTTATTTTAAAATTTATTATTATTATTATTATTATTATTATTATTGTTATTTTTTATTTTTTTATTTTTAGTAGCATCCTTGCCTGTGCCTTAGCAAGGATAGCTGGTGGCCTTGAACACCAGAAAAACAGTGCTGGCTTTTTGGGCCAAGCTTGTTACCATTCCCATTGCCAAGAACACTGTCCTGATCAGATGTGTCCATCCCTTTCTGACTCAGTGGCTCCCACCAAAATTAACCTCCCAAAGGAATGAACCTAACAGCTTCCAGAGCGTCTCTTTTATCCTCATGGAATAAGTCACCTTTTCTCTAAAATGTGGCTTTTGCTTGAGGCTGAAGGTTTAATTTTCCCCACCCACCTATGAAGAGGAAAAAATTGTGTCCCAGTGGTGGAAAAAATGAATCTCATGAACATTTCCAGTGTCCCTTGAGAGGGAAGGAAGTTCAGTGTTATCATGTGGCATTTGTTAATTTCTTTAAATTCTCATGTCTGTTACTAAGACACTACTGTTTATTTTTCTATGCCTATACAGCACATGATTTGGTGGGGATAAAGCAAGTATAAATTGGGAGCAGGTGAAGATACATGTGATCATATGTACAGAGAGAACTGACTAAAATGTGCAGCTAAATTATATGTAATATGGGTTTTGAAGTATTAGATATTCAGGAATATTTTGAGCATCTTTTGCCTTTAAAAAAAAAAGTGCCTTGATTTAGTCACTTGACTTTAAACATTCCTCTTATTTTATTGTGATTTTTAATGTGTGTTCTGACCCCAAACTGTGTATTATGATGCAGCGTGTCAGCTGCAGTCAGAGCATATGTTTTGTTCCAGTAACAGAGACTAAAGAGTTAATAAATATGGTTCAGCTGCTACACTTGTGTGATTAAAAGGCGTTTTAATCACACCAAGTTTCTGTGGCCCCAATAGCTGAGGCCTGCCATTTGTGCTGGAGTAAATTTGCACTTTTAACCACATGGATCGTTTGGGGGCCTTGTCCTTTTATACTTTGCTTTGTTAATAAAGGAACTTGTGGAAACCTCTGGCCTGGACGTCGGATTTGGGGAGGGGTCTCCTGTTCCCTGTGGCTGTTCCCTGCGGCTGCCCTGGCCTATGACTCCTTCCTGGAGCCTTACCTGCCCTCAGCGTCTGGGCGCATGGGAGGCTTTCCCACGCAGCAAAGCTGGGATTGTCATTTGTACAGAACGGGCTCCGTCCACAGGCGGGAAAGGCCAGTTCATAGCTCTGCAGGCTTACAGGCCGGAGTCCTGCCTTCCAGGCTTCGTTTTCCTTGCCTAGTACCTTCTGCCCATGCCCTTCTCCTACCCTCCTCTCCCCCCACTTCCACACACACTCCTAAATGCAGTTCAAGTCTTGGCCTGTGGCTAATTCACAGCTCAAGAATTTTACCCAGAAACCTCTCAGGCCCTCAGGCTCTCTGCAAATGGTAAACATTTACTAATAGGAAAAACCACCGGTTTAGTGAGAGATGGCAGCTGGGAGGCCAGGTTGGACTCTTCAGAGCCTTGGAGCCAGTGGGAGTTCGGGAAAACTTGGTTATTTAGTAGCTATTGCCCGGGGCATGGGGGACACACACAGTGATGACCAGGACAGACGAGGTCTCTTTCTCAGGAGCACACAGACAGTTACGAGAGGCGGGCAGGTAAGATGTCCGCACACAGTGGTGGGTGGTGGGTGGGGGGAGGTTTATGGAAGCGCGGAAGAGGGCACCTCGTGCAGTTCCGGTTCAGGGAGGGCTTCTTGGAACAAGTGATGTCTAAGTCTAGATCCAAAGGTTAGTAGCTCGGCTGGAGGAGAATGCATCTAGCACAGAGGTGAAAGGAGCATTTGGCTGGAAAGTGGGGATGGGGTGTGAGCATGCTTCAGAGACCAAGGATGAGGTGGGAGAGTTAGTGAGGCATCGGGACACCAGGGGTAATGAGGCCAGAGCTGTTCAAACTGGAGTGTGCAAATCACCCGGGAGTCTGTTAGGATGCAAGTTCTGATTTATCCATGGTGAGAGAGAATCATTGATCAGCTGCCTCCTGCACACCCCTTACTTGGGGATTGAGCCTGAAACACAAGTATGTGCCCTGACCGGGAATTGAACTGTGACCTCCTGAGTCATGGGTCAGCCTTCAACCACTGAGACACACTGGCCGGGCGAGATTGCTTTTCTAACAAACTTCCGGCTGAGAGTGCTACTGCTGGTTCAGGAGCCGTGCTTTGATTGCAAGGCTGTAAACCACACTGCAAGTTGGGACTAATCAGAAGGTACTGGATAGGCAAGAAATGGCAGGGTCAACATTTGAGTTTGGCTCACTCTGGCTGAGAGGAGGAGACCGGATTAAGCAGGGGTTGGCAAATGACTTATTTATTTTATTGATTTTTGTGTGTGTAAGTAAAAGTTTTATGGGAACACAGCCACACCCATTCAGTTACATACTGTCTCTGGTTGCTCTCACCCTGTGGGTAGAGTTGAGTAATTAGGACCCAACACTGAAAATACTTAACTCTCTGGCTCCCTACAGAAAAAGATTGCTAGGAGTAATCAAACTTGAAGTCGTCAGAGGCTGCAGTGGGCTGGGCCTGGATGGGGCGGGTTGAGTGGGATTGAAATAGGAACAGGGAGACCAGTTACCGAAGAGACAGAACAGTGTCAGAAGGAGGGCCAGAGCTTTAATACCAAGAGACCAGTCATCAAGTCTTGCTTCCTGCACTTACGTGTCTCTCTCTCTCTGCAAATTACCGAATCCTCTCTGAATCTCAAGTCCCTCCTCTGTAAATGGGATTCATAATAGAACCTCCCTCATAGGAGTAGGGGATTAGGTGAGCTCGTGCCTGCCATATATTAAGCACCCAGTGCAAATCAGTGTAGAAATAATGATCAGAATGGGATTGTCCTTTAGTCTGTGTCTCCAGCCTCTTCCTCTGCTCCCTTTCCAACTCATTGTTTCTCCACGGCAGGATTGTTTCCATTTTGTCCATCCAGCCATCTCTCTGCTACCTAGATTTTGTTTCCCTCTTTCCTTGATGCCCATGATGAGAAGCTCTATGAGAAGCTCTCACTCGGAGTACTGTAGTGGGATGATTATAAAAACAGTCCCTGTTCCCCAACCCTTCCTATACCCATGCCCTTTGCAAGTGACTTTGCAGTCTCGCCCATCAAAAAGGGGAGGGGCCTTCTGCATACCACTTGAAACTACAATAGAATGGCTTTGTGACTTATCCTTAGTCAATAGAGTGTGGTGCTGCACATTCCTTTAGAGCACGATTTAATATGATATCACAATAGGCATTGTGCTAGTTCCGGGCCTAGGCCTCAAGACATCTTGCCTGCTTCTCACAGTTTTCTTGGAAGCCTGCCGCCGCCACCAAGTTAGGATGAGAGACCCTGTGACCCAGCCAGCCCTCTCATCAGAGCTGATAGCCAGCACCTGTGAGACAGGTGGTGAGGCCATCCCAGACCAGCCCCACGGCCCGCTTTTCCCCAGCTGACATGACCACAGACTGACTGAAACACTTGCCCAGGTCAGCAGAACCACTCAGCTGGCCCGTAGCAGTAATCGACATTGTTTTAAGCCACTGAGTTAGTGGTTGATTCTTGCTCTGCAGCAGCCAACTGATATGGACGCTAACTGATATAGATGCTAGCTAGGGCTGCACTGGAGTAAATACAGGCTGTCCTTGACTTCTGTGCTTCTGGCTTTCAAACAGCCAGACTGATACCAGCACTGAAATGACAGTGACCCACCTTCCCCACAGCGAACCCAGGCTCCCTCATCAGCTGGAGCCCAGAGGGCGGCTGGCCTCCCATCCAGTGGTCAGGAGTGGCAGCACTGCCACCTCTGAGCAGTGTGTTTACACAGCTGTCGCACTACGTTCCTGTATTTGCCCTTATCTTGTAAAAACAAACGGACGCTGGGAAAACTAAGGGCTGACTCAGGTGACAAAATGCCACAGGTCTCAAAGGTAATGCAGTTATGACACTGATTCCCTACCCCCAACATGGCTCAGCTTTGGCTTCCATCAGATGCTGGCTGGTGGTAAGCTGGTGGGCATCGCGTTCAATTGTAAAGGACTGAAATAGCAGTGGTGAAGGGCATTTAGGAAACAATGTCATTTGGGAATACATTTGGCCACAATTTATAAAAACCCAACCTACAGTGATAAACAAATAGAGGCTCATATTTTCTCATCAGCCAGAAGCCTACAGGTAGGCAGCTAGCAGTACAGGGGTGAAGCTGGGATCCAGGCATCGTTTTGCTCTGCCATTTTCATTTTTATTCTTATGCTTGTCGTGTCAAGATCCCACAGTGGCTAGGACAGGCATGGAGAAGAGAAAATGGATTAGAGAACACCGTAGGCTTCCTCTTACATCTCATTGGCCAGAATGGTGGCACATGATAATTCTTAGCAGCAAGGGAAGCTGGGAAAGAGAGCCTGGTACCTGTCACACAGCAGCTCTGCACAAAATAAGCAGGAAGAATGGTGTTTGTGGATAAATAAGATTCTGCCTCATAAGTGCCAGAAACAAATAGAAGATTATGTCAAAGTAGTGAGAAGTAATTAGAGAATTTATAATTCCATAATTATATAATGTATCCTTGCCTAAATCCTAGAATATGATAAATGCTTCAAAAATGTTAGGGTTGACATCTCAGCTCTGCCATTCACTGGCCATAATATTTTGGGCAAGTCAGTTAATTTGTCTGGGCATCAGTTTTCTGATTTGCAAAATGGGAGTGATAGCATTTCCTTTTATATAGGTTTGTTGTTTGAATCAAAGAGTAATGCATGTGAAATTGAGAAGTGCTATCCAAATTCTATCAATAGTTGTGGTCTCTCAGGATTGTGTCCCAGCAGCTTTGGGACAACAGAAAGGGGAATCCATTTCTTAAGAGGGAGTCACCCTCAGGCACTCTGCCCCATGCCTCCCCGTCCCCAAGCCTCCCTTCCTACAGGACTGCGAGTGAGCCTGCAGTTGTGAATATTTGTTGCGCGTGTCCCCAGAAGGGAAGGACATTCACTGAGAGGACTGACTGCCCCCATATCTCCTTTTAAATTGTGTCATCTTCTTATAAGCTCTCTCCCCATTTCATTTCTCAAATGAAATTTGATTTGCATTGCTTGAGTCCCGGCGAAAAGCTCGAGCTAGAGGTTCTCAGTTCTGGAGCTATAATAATAACCTGGGGCTTTATAAGATTATCCATGCTCAGAGCTCCACCCTGGCCCCAGGAGGTCAGAAGCTCAGGAGGTGCAGCCAGGCATGGGCACTGCCCACAGGTCCCCAGGTCATTCTCCTAGTAGAATGGAGCCAGGGTTGAGAACCACCGACTTCGGTGAGATGGCCCTTCTGGCGCCTGTCAGTGGAGAACCTGCGATTTCCCCACCAGGTGTTGTGGAAACACCAGCTGGCGGGCGTGAAGTCTGCTTGGTGGTAGAGACAGACGGCTGAACGGGGGTGGTGCTGGAATAAAGTCCGAGGACGGAACTCTTTAGCTGAGAGACACAAGGCAACATATCACTGCTAAGCAGGCACAGGGTTTGCTCCCATTGGCAGTTCCCCTTTTCTTCAACCCCAGGGAGATGGAAACGATGAAAAATATTTGGGGGGGGGGGAAAAAAGTCATTAGAGTCATCCTGATATTTCTCAGCTAAGAAAGGCCGCTATATTTAAAGGGACAGTGACCTCAATCTAGTGTGGAGGGAACATATATCCGATCCAGCCTGTCTTCACAAAATGCTGGCTCTTTTCACGAAAATTCAGTGGTTTTGCCCATATTTTGTCCCAGTCTCCGCCCCCAAGGTCCTCAGATGCTGGGACTTAGAGCTAGCACTTAAAAAAATGAAAGTCCATCAATACAAGAGGCCTTCCACTGAAGTTGGAGTGAGGGAAAGGCCGGGGGCGGGTTAGGAATCCCACTGTGTGCCAGACTCAAGCGAAAAGCTTTTAGGGACCTTGTCTCATGAAAAGATTTTTATCTTCATGGTTTATTTAATCATTGGTCTCCCAGAATTAGGGGCCGTGTCT